ATATTAAGTGTATGAATTTTTTAAAGATTTATATTGACAGACTGTATTAAAACACACAAGATGCCACAATAGAATGTTTACAAACAATCCAACGCTTCCAAGAGAAGTATCTTAAATTCAAGAACATAGAAAGAATAAAGAGTGAAAAGAGATAGATACACCATATAAAATCTAAGCAGAAGAAAAGTTGTCAGAGTCACTCTAGAATTGGAGTAAAGAATAAGTTAGGAAGGGACGCTTTAAAAAGATAAAAGAATCAGTCCACTAGGATGATAGAGTGTTTTAAATTTGTGGTGTGTGATAAGGCAGCTTATGTATATAGAAAGAGAAAGTGATAGAATTAAGGGAGGCAAATCCAGAGTCACAGTGGAAGCATGATCCATATTTCTCACCAAAACTGATAGAACAAGCAAAAAGCAAATAAACAAATACAATGATGAGAAAAGTCAGATATGGTCTCTGTTTCTATTGAACTTGCATTAAAGGACACAGGTAGTAATTAAATAAGCACATGAAAAGAAGGCAGTTTTCTGACAGTGAGCATGACCTGGGCTGAGAGAACAAGAAAAGTCTTTTCTCAGAGAGTGATCCTTGCTCTCACCTCTAAGGGATGACTAGGAATCAATTAGGTTAGTGGAAGGGGCTATGCACACCAAAGAGCTTTAGACAAGGGGCAACACGGCATCTACAAAGATCCTGTGGTAGAAAGAAGCACATGAGTTTGAAGAACTGGAAGGTGGTCCAAGGGATGGAAGCACAGTGTATGAAGGAAAATGATTCAAAACCAACCAGAGAGGTGGGCAAGGCCAAAACATTCAGAATTGTGTAAGCCATGTTTTAGATCCTGGACTTTATCTAGAGATAATGGGAAGCCAATAAAAGGTGGTAAAGCAGGTTTATATTGTCATTTGGGTTTATGTTTGGAAAAGATTATTCCAGCTGTAGCGTGAGAATGGATCATAGAAGGTCAGAGTCAACAGGGGAGATTATACAACCTAGCAGTTTTTAACCAGTGTTGAGAGATGAAGGAAAATGGTGGTGATGGAGGAGTCAGAGAGGAGTAAGTTAGCTATTAATATTTACAGTATTAAGATATTCAAGAGAAGTTAAATCAACAGGACTTGGTAAAAAAAACAAATTCCACATGTGACTGAGGACAAGGGGATGAGCAAGGATATTGTTTTAGTTCCTTTCCTGTGCAAATGGGTTCGACAGTGATGCTCTTCTCTAAGATAGGAAATCCAGAGTAGATTTTTGAAGGAAGATCATAAATTCATAAAGGAAGATCTGTTGGGATTGAGGATTGTTCCTGTTGGAGATTATTCTACAGGACATCGTCACAAGGCTCTTAATGGACTTTCTCTTTGTTGTGTTTCGTTGGTTTTATTTTGTTTTACCCTCTTAAGTCTAACATTTCAAAAGTGCAATTGCAAGCCCCGACTGGGGACATTTATCATGTTGCCACATCAAAATATTGATGCTTGCCTAATTTAAGCCTTCCCGGGGAATAATACAAACAGGAGAGAAGATGGAAAATTTGTTGATATCCCCAGGAGTGCTTGCAGGATGCTGGACACTGACCCCAGTCAGAGTCTAAATGTGCAAAGGCACTTTCCTGGCTCTGGTTGTCAAAGGCCATGTAAGGTGACAGATTGCTTTTCTGGAAGGTGCTGCAGGAGAATGGGCAGCCAAATTCAGGAAAATTGGCTCTTAATACATATGCCATTTCAGAAAAGCACTAATGAGCTCTCTCTTCATTGAAAATTAAATCTGTCAAGGATATGAATCAGATGTCATCTGAAAGGAGAGACCAATCCACTCTTCCACAGCAATTTCCTGTTAGAACTTCAGGATGGGAGATACCATTTCTTCTGTTCCAGGGTGGGTGAGTTCCTGTTAGAAGGTAATTTTGAAATTCTTGTCGTGAAAAAGAACACAGTGAAGATGACAACCTGTTGCAGGGTGGATTCACATCCAAAAAAAAAAAAAAGGGCAACATATATTTCTGAATCATATATTCAAGGCAATTTCTCTTTTTGGGGGAAGGTATTGCCCTATAACCTTCTAAGGATGTATGAGGCTCCCCTTCTTTGTTCTTGTGTACCCTTTAATGCTTTTAGGGGTTAACTTAAAAGAAGAAATTTAAATTTTTTTGGCTTTTCTTTTTCTTTTTGTCCTAGGGATTGAACTCAGGGGCACCCAACCACTGATCCATACCCCCAGCCCTATTTTGTATTTCATTTAGAGACAGGGTCTCACTGAGTTGCTTAGCACCTTGCTTTTGCTGAGGCTGGCTTTGACCTCCTATTCTCCTGCCTCAGACCTCCTGAGCTACTGGGATTACAGATGTGCGCCACCACACCTGGCTTAATTTCTATCTATCAAGATAAGGTCTGATAGGAAATTTGGCTATGGCATCTGATTTAAATGAAGCTTGTAATCTTATACATGCTTTAAATTATGTGTTCTTCTCTGAGATAACTTGAATTTTAAATTGTTATTTCAGTGTATGGCAAAAGTTTCAACATTTGGGGAACTGAAAAGAAGATCTGTTTCCTTACTTGGAATAGAATCCTGAGTTTTCTAAGTATACAAAGAAGATAGACAGAGACAAATGATTTGCAACAATTTCATAAACTATAACCACAATTCCATTGTTGAAGGAGGAAAGGTGAAAGATATTCAGGAACTTATTATTTATAGGGTCTTCTGTATTCTTATGATTTGTCTAAAGATCATTATGTTAGAAATGTATAAAAATCACAAGCTGTATCTCTGTAGCCTGGAACCAAGTCGGTCAATGAACCTTGACTTTGCTTAATACCAGTACTGGTCAATACAAAGGCAACACCAAATTCTTCAGTGAGGATGTCTTTAAGCCATTATGCAGTCATAGCTCAGTGACTGGGGATCTTGACCTATTTTAATCCCCCGCCTCATTCATTATCGATAAAGAAACAAGAGCCTAGAGGGAAGTGTGTTCTGCTATGACTACATAATTTAGATCTCAGAATTCATTTCCTTTGAGTTTTCTTCAGAGAAACAAGAACCAAAATGGAGAGAACATCTTCTTCAGAGACTGGTTTGGTATATTACCAAATATACCAGATGATAGTATTGGGACTCAGATGATAGTACTGGGACGAACTGTCCTGCATAAAGACCTCTCCATGGGCTCCTGGCTTTGGGCATGCTTTGACCATTTTTATTTCCATTTTGGATCCCTGCAGACTCTGTCATTAGGAACAAGTAATCAGGTTCTTGGGCAATTGCAGTGTGGAATTATGGGAAATGGGAGGAGGCTCTCATCTCAGAGGATGCTGAACTTGCTCCTTGCCTTGGACCCCAGCCACATGCTGATAACTGAGCACTAAACCTGTCATCTTAGTTTTAATACTCTGATTCTGTTGACACAATCATTTGGTAAAATAACCTCAGTTTTCCTGTCTGAAACATGAATTTAAGGTTGGCAAAACCCTGCTCTTAGGAAAAATAGCTTTAAGCTAATTGCTAAAGGCTGTGACGTATGACTTAGTGTATTATTATTTTATAATGGAGAATTTGACCTACCTATATCAGCTGCCTATAGTGTTGCTGGTAATGTATTATTAATGACTTCTAAAAACTCCAGCTCTGGAGAAGCTGCATCATTACTGCATTACATTTTGCTTTTGGTTAATGGACAGCTATATTTCACTGTCATTTTTATGAATAACAAGAGAGCACAGCTGAAAAATTTTAGCAAATATAGGACAATAGAAGGCACTGTCACTTATTATTAATTGGATGATCAAATTCAGCCTTATTAGAGCCAGGACTTTTCTGGGCACAGTCTGCAACCCATACACCTCCCTTTCACTTGTGCTCTCACCCACTCAGAAGCAAGGACCAGGAAACGCTGTATTTAGCTAGCATTTTCATGCTTAGGCAATTAAAGACTCCAAGTCATCACTCTTTTGCTTTCCATGTAAGCAACAACAAAAAAGGTGGCAGAATCTCAGGCAGTAGGAGGGGCTTCTGTTCACTTCAATCCAACTTCATGAATTAGAATGAGGAAACCCTTTTAATGTCATCAAAGAGGCCCTTTTTTTTTTTTCCTTCAAGAAGGTTTTTAAAAATCATGTCTCATAGAGTTCTCCATTTGGCAGATAACTCTTAAACCTGCTCTCCCATAATCTAGAATAATCTAAATCAAGCTCAGCTGCACATACAGATGTTCCTTGATTAATGATGGTATTATTTTCTGCTGTCAGTAGAAAACATCCTAAGTTGGAAACGCATTTAACATACCTAACCTGCCATCATAGCTTAGCAACCCAGTCGATGTAGAGCACCTGTTGTTTACCATCAGGATCACGTGGCTGACTAGAAGCTGCCACTTGCTGCTCCTACCAAGCTTCACGTAAGAATATTGCATATTGCCAGCCCAGGAAAAGATTAAAACAAAAAGTACACTTTTGATGATATGGGTATCACTTTAGCACCATCAAAGTCAAAAAATTCTAAGTCAAACTTTGGTAAGTTGAGGATTGCCCTGTAGGAGTCAAATTGCGCAAACTGGCAGTGTTACAAAGGAAGCTATTCCTCCTAAATCCCAAAGCCTCACTATGTGTCTTTAGCTTTTAATTTTTTCTCTTCCTCCTTTGTTATCTATAGCAAAAATATCCCGGGGTTAATGGCATCTGAAGGTGCTAATGGTCAACAGCAACAAGGACATCAGAGATGTTGACCTGCCCTTTGTTTAATTGTAAGTTTGTGAGAGCAAACTTACAAGTTTGAATGGTGTTTTTCAAAAGGATAAAGAGGGCTCTTAGCCCTTAGGACAGATCTCTGCAAACTTGGTGCAATCGGCAGATGTAGATGGTAAAAGAAGAAGATTTTTAGCATGGTGTATACACTCATTATTTGATAGCTTAGAGCTAATGAATTGCATATTTCATTTTGCTATCTTCTGATCCCATTGAGTTTTCCTTCGTGCAGGCCAAACATGTGCAACAAATACATTTTCATACAATTACTGATGGCGGTGCATATTTTCCTGATCAACAGGGTCCTTGGTTGGATGGTAACAGCAGGAACAAGGACATCAAGGGTCTTGTTCTTGTCTCCTCTTATTTTCCACAGCTGCCCCTTTGTTGTTTGGCTTTAGATTATTTGATGCCAGGAAATAGCTCTAGACGCATCATATTTTCCATCCATTAATCAATTCTAATCCAAAGAAGTATTCTGTATACTGAAACATCCACAGGGAAGGTCTTTTGCCTTCACTTACAAAACAAGTCAGTATTTATATATAGAATCTGTGCTAGACAAATTAAAGGTCAAAAAGAGAATGTACTATCCATTAGGCATCATGACAACCTGGCTATAAAAACTCACCATTTGTTCAGAGTCCGTAAATGGATGTTGTGGTGTCTGTTAGATGTATTATGGTCTAGGAAGTATTTTTTGTAAAAGGTGTTTCACGGAAGAGAAGTCTCTGGGGATGCTTGAGAGAAAGGATTCTGAAGTTCAGTAAGTTTCAGGAGTCCTCCATACAAGATTTCCCTGTTTGAGGCTCACAATGCATAATTAAATTGTACCATTCTGACAACCCGACTATTAAAAAAACAAAACAATAAAACGTAGTATTATATTTTTAAAAACAAAACAATTAAACATAGTATTATATTTTAAAAAATAAACAATAAGAATTTTAATACTTGTTTGATCACAGGCCCTTTTGGGGAATAATTTCTAGCATTAACTGAAAGTAGCTAGTGAAACAAATGATCTATGAATAACAGTTTGGGAGATCAGTATTTTTAATTAAAAGAAAAGTTTTCAACCTGAAGTCAACTATTGATTTTTAGTACACTGCAAACCACTGTCACGTGCTGTATTCCACTATGTATCGATAACTTCCTCTTTTAAACAAAATAGTGAAGCTAGTGAAAATTGATGAAGTTCTAATGATAAGTCAGGCACTGTACTGAATACTTTACATGACTTGTCTCATTGATTCCTTCAAACTTGTACTTATTTTTTAAAAAGCTCAAGTAGTGCTATAATACATTCTCATTGCAAAAAGTAAACAAAAAGTTCAAAAATTATTTCATTTAGGTATCTAAACCTCTAGATCTTTTTTTGTGCATAATTTGCAGCATTATACACATTTTTACGTAAACAAAATTATATTTGCATGTTATTGTGAAACTGAAGTGGCACCCCCTTTCTCCATTGAAAAGTCTTAACTCGGCCTCTCCAGAAATCTTCAACATGGCTGATTTTAGGACTTTCAGCAAAAGAGTCTCTGCAAAAGAGTTCAATGTAGATAAACTTCCTATTTTCATGTCGCCCAGTTTACTTGAACACCGGCTGGGAAGATACCAGCACTCCAGGTGCATGGTACTCCCTTACTAGTTTTTCACAAACATATCCAGTATAGTACTTTGAAGAAATGTGTAAACAAGGCCTCTGGCCTTGAGCTGGGCTTCACAGAGATGTCTACATTTTTAAGATAAGTTACAAATGGGCTCCATGATAACAGCTGGCAGGGGGAGGAAAGAAAGTGGAGAAGAAGCTCTCCCCTTCCCTAGTGTTGTCCTTGAAGAGTTAACTTGCCCAGAACAGTAACAGAAAAGCTGCTTTATGTGAACTTCTGCAGACTGTGAACTTCTGAGCCCCTCCCCTTACATGCTGGGTATAAAACTCTGAAACTCCCTGAGTTCAGGGGATTGATTGATTACAGCAAAAGCTGTGCCCTCTGAACCTGGCTGCAGCCAAATAAAACTGTTTCCTGCTATCTTCGGTGCCTTGCCTCATTTGTCCCTACAACAAAACTAGCTTTTTCATTTACAAATATTTTTAAATATATTTCTGGGTCAGCATGTTTATATCCACCACATTGCCTTCACTTACAACTTTTTATAAAGTGTTTTCACAGAGGAAAAGAAGTCTTTTTCTTTGGCATTTTCATGACTTCATGGTATTTTATGGTGTATACATATCAGAAAATTTTTATTGGTAGATGTTCAGCTTATTTTCAAAATTCTCACCAATGTAAGAAAATTTTTGTTTGTTTCTGGCAATATGACTTATAGATAACAACAAATGATAATTGAAACAATCAGAATCCTGGAGTAAACAGTCCATCAACTGGTGCATAAGGTAAGAAGCCTCAGAAGTCAGAAATAAGGTGAAAGTAGAAACCCTGTGGAGCAAGACGTTACAAATGTTTTCCTTCTTTCTGAGATTTTCTGCTGTACTCTGAAAAAATTGGAGCTAATGTTTGGTGAAACAGGATTCAGGAAGCAAATCTTAAATTCCACATGAGGCATTGAAGCCAAAAGAAAACGCCCAATATAAAGCTACTACCAAAGGGCTACACCTTCAATATAAGAGTAAAAAGTAATAAAACCACCATCCAGATGGACAGCAAATAAATTTTCCTTGCTGGACTTATATGCTGAGAATTCAAAACCACAAACCTGACTTCTTATGTGTTTTCAATCTCATGCATTGTTTTTGTGTCTCAAAAATATTAAGAATGTAAAGTGTCCCTAAGTTAGTGGTCTCTCTATGTATATTGTATAAATAAATCAAATCCAAATCAGGCTCCAAAGAATATCCTCCAATAATGTTATAAGGAAAATAATCAATTAACAGTCAAAAATTTATAAAACCCATAAGGAACTAAAATACCATGAATGACAACCAGAAGAAACAGGAGATAAGATTATCAGACTTGCAAAGATTTCATTTATTGGAATCACCAGACACTAAAGACAAAACAACTGTATTTTTGAGACATAAAGGAAGAGATTGATAATATCAACAGAATAGGTAATTGTAAAAGAAGAAACAAATGTATTTGTAAAAGAATCACTAGAAAACTTTTAAAACTTCTAGAACTTATAAATATGCAAATTAAAATTAATAAGTCATTCTAAACAGCAAATAAGACAGATATAACTAAATAGAGAATCAGTTGAAAGATACAGCTAAAGAAGCTATACAGAATACAGTCCAGAGAGATTAAGGAAACATCAAAAGGGATTAAAGACGTGGAGGATAGAGTAGGAATGTCTAATATACATTAATGCTGATATGCCTTAATGAAAGTCTTAGAAATAAAATAATGGAGGAAAGACAATATTTAATGAGATAATAATGGCTGAGACTTTTTCCCAATTGTTGAAAGATCCTAATCCTCCAAGAAATCTCCTGTCCAAGAAAGCCAGCAAGTCAAAAGTATGATAAACAAGAGAAATCACACCTCAACATATCACAGTGAAGCAAAATGCCAACGAAAAAGACTTAAAAACATCTTTCAAGAATGAGGTTGATATAAAGTTATTTTCTATCCCTTAGCTTAGCCACCTTTACTATGTGTTGCTTACCTTGTCATAGAACGGCTGCATCACCCCAAGACTCGACTCTGAGTTATAGGTAGGAGAAAAAGAAATGGTGACGTGTAAGAAAACACGCAATTAGGTCTGATCCTCTTTTCTTGGAAGTCTCCTTCACACTCCCACTTATATCTCATGGCCAGAACTTTATCACATAGCCCACTTCTCTGCAAAGGAGTCTGAGACATATTGGCCTCCTGCACCCCACCAAAATTTTTTCTCATTTGTTAAAAAAAAAAGGTGAATAGCAGATAAGCTACAATTAATTATTTCTATCACAATTAAGAATAAACATGGTCTCTGTCCTCAAAGGAATCATAGTCCAGTGTGAGAGATAGTCCTTTAAAAAAGTTAAATGTAGAATTCCAGGCACATTTTTCTATAGATCATCTTTATATACTAGATGGAAAAGTTTTACTATCATCTTTGGTGGTCTTTGTTGATTCATTGTGCAATGAGTAAGCCATTGTACAATCGTCTAACTTTAAGAAGCAGTCTCATGCTAGGAATTACACCAGGTCGGGAGTAGTAAGAAGAATCACACGTGGTTCCCACTCTGCAAAGGCTTACGACCATGTGGATGCTGTCAGGCAGAAAGAAAAACACTAGTGCAAGAAATTATCACAACACAGACAGAGGAAAATAAATAAAAGAGGATATCATGAGTTGCGTTGCATCTTCCAAAACTTGTTCATTAAATTTGTTATCCCCAGAACCTCAGGGTGTAGCATTATTTGGCGATAGGGTCTTTGCAGAGGTAAATGAGTTAAAATTAGTCATTAGAGTGAGCTTTAAACCAATATGCCTGGGGTCCTGATAAGAAGGGGAAATTTGGATTCAGACATGTATAGAGGGAATGTAGCATAAAGGGAAAGGGAGAAGAGGGCTGTTTACAAACCAAAAATATTCCCTTCCTCACAGCTCTCAGAAGGAAACAACCTGCTGACACTGATTTTGGACTTGTAGTCTCCAGAACTGTGAGATAACCACAATCCATGGCAGTTGTTATGGAAGCTCTAGTGATTTAATACAGAGGAAGTGGTAAATTCACCCCGAGGCATAAATAGTTTTACAAAAGCCTTCACAGATTCTGATGGTTGAGTTATAGGATGAGTAGACAATTCCCAAGCAGAGTTATAGGAGGAGACAATAAGAATTTCAGTCCAAAGAATGTTATGAGCAGAGATTCAGAAGTGGGATAAATCATGAATTCTTGGTCTGTTTGGACTGCCACCAAAGAATACCTAAAGAAACAGTGCTATATATACACAATGGGCTATCACTCAACATCAAAACTTCTTGCTGCTTTGGGGACTGAGTTTGAGGACTTTATGTTACAGAATTAGAATCAGTAACAGATTTACAGTAACAGCTCAAGGAGTTTTTAAAAGTGCAAATTGAAGTAACATTAAAAGAAAATAAATTATGGTATTTGCAGGTAAATGGATGGAGTTGGAAAATATCATGCTAAGCAAAATAAGCCAATCCCTAAAAACCAAAGGCCAAATGTTCTGTCTCATAAGTGGATGCTGATTCACATGGATCATCATCCTCTTGTGAGGGGGAGGGGACATGGGAAGAATGGAGGAACTTTGGATTGGGGAGAGGGAAGGTGGGGAAGGCAGGGGGCATGAGCGTAGGTAAGATGGTGGAATGAGATGAACATCATTACCTTAGGTACATGTATGATGGCACAAATGGTATGACTCTGCATCGGGTACAATGAAAAGTTGTGCTCCATTTGTGTACAATGAAATGAAATACATTCTGTTGTCATGGATAACTAATTCAAAAAAAATTTTTAATTAAGAAATATTTTAAAAATACCATAGACAGATGGCTTAGAAACCACATAAATTCATTGCTTACAGCAATAGATGGGAAGTTCCAGGTCAAGGCACTGGCAGATCTGGTATCTGGTGGGGACTCATTCCCTAGTTCATCAGCAGCTATTTTCTCATTGTGTCCTCATAGG